CTATCATGCCACGGCACTCTACCCAGGGCGATAGCTTGAGACTCTGTCTTAAAAAAAAAAAGAAAAGAAAAAGAAAATAATGTAATTGATGATCGTTAAAAATTTGTGCTGCAGAACCGCAGTTGAAAATCAGAGTTAGTGTCTCCTCTACTAGTTGCTCTCTTTTAGGTGGTTGGAAAATCTTTCCCTGCAATCCCGGCAGACTTTACCTATGTCCTATTAGCCAGAACTAGTTACATACCCAGTCTTATTGGTTACTGGTAGAGGAAAGTGAGATTTCCATGATTGGCTTAGAATAATGTTGGGTCATTCCCTGGACCTGGACGAGAGATTCACCTGTCTGATCCCACTGATGTCTTATATTAAACAACATCAGTGTTGTATTATCACAAGAGGGGTGTCAGAATAGGCAATCACTAGTACATGCCAAACTGTACTAATAGACTTATAACTTTTTTTAATACTACATAAAAGGTATTCTGTGCAAAAAGTGATACTTTAGTATTGTAAGCCTTTAAAAGAGAAGCGTGTTCCTTTGAGAAGCATGTTTTCCTTGGGATTGGCTTTGGAAACCAGTATTTTTGCTTGTCATTTGTTAGTTGTTTGCTACCGGTATATGTATTTTTGTTTTGGTTACAGTCATTGTTTATTTCCCTTTGATATTACACTCCATAATGATACTGTATGATTTGAGCAGTTGTTTCTGATTCTTTCACATTAATTGGTACTTTGTTTTTCTAGGTGGATTCTCCACAGTTTTCCTGGTGCGGACTCATGGTGGAATTCGATGTGCATTGAAGCGAATGTACGTCAATAACCTGTCAGACCTTAACATTTGTAAAAGGGAAATCACAATTATGGTAAGGCAAAGAGGAATTCTGTTTTAGAAATTTGGCTTTTTTTGATTTTGCTTATCCTATAACATTAACCAACTTTTAGGCAAGCTGCTTATTGGTTTATGCACATTTAGAAAAACTTTGAAGATCATTTAAATAGAAAATTATCTGGAAATTTGTAGCGTAGTCACATCCCTCAGTATCTGAGGGGTTGGTTCCAGTACACCTGCAGATGTTAAAATTCATGGATGCCTAAGTCTGCAAATGCTCAAGGTCTTCTATTAACATAAGAGGGTGTAGTATTTGTATGTAATAGACACATATCCTCTTATACACTTTGAATCATCTCTAGATTACTTATAATACCTACTATAATGTAAATGCTATATCAATAATTTTTATACTGCATTTTTAACATTTATATTTTTTATTTTGGGGAATATTTTCCGTCGACAGTTGGTTGAATTCTGAACATGGAACCATTAGATAAGGAGGGCTACATTGCTTTTAGCCATATTTAGGAATAAATGCAGCCAGATGTTTTGTCTAGGCTTCCTTCACTACTGTAGGTTGAACAGGGAAACTGTTTTGCTTTCTTTTTCTTTCTTAAAATTCATTAATTATGGAATATGTTGAAGATAGGAAAATTAGAAAATTGTATAATGGACACAGATTTTACCCAACATCCAGCTTAACAATTTAAATGTTATAGGTACTGTTAGAGCCTTCTGAGAATCATTCCACAGCTGTATCACTGTATAACCAAACTTTGGAGATACTGTAGTTTTTGTTCAAGACTGCTGCAAGAAATGCAACAAAACAAGCTGCACACTTTGGTTTCCCAGTTCTCAACTCTACTCTAGTTGGGTTTATGCTCTGCTGTAGGCTGTTAATGGTATAACAGCATTAGATTTAAAAAACTTTATATGACTTAAAGTATTTTATTGCTGAAAAATCTAACAATCATCTGAGCCATTAGGAACTTAGAGTTCTTTTGGTGGTGGAGGGCCTTACCTTGGTGTTGACAACTGATGACTGCTCAGAGTAGTGGTTGCTGAAGTTGGGGTGGGAGTGGCGATTTCTTAAAATAAGACAACAATGAATTTTGCCACATCAAGTGATTATTTCTTTCATGAAAGAATTCTTTGTAGCCTGGTATGCTGTTTGATAATATTTTATCCACAGTAGAACTTCTTCCAAAATTGGAGTTAATTTTCCTCAGACCCTGCCACTGCTTTATCAACTAGTTTATGTAATATTCTAAATTCTTTGTTATCTTTTCAGTAATCTTCACAGCTTCTTCACCAGGTGTAGGTTCCATCACAAGAAACCACTGTCTTTGCTCATTCATAAGAAACAACTCCTCAAGCAGTCCAATTTTTCAGTCAAATCTTTGGATTCCAATTCTAGTTCTCTCACTGTTCCCAGCACATCTGCAGCTACTTCCCTCACTGGACTCTTGAACCTCTTGAAGTCATCCAGAAGGGTTGGAATCAAATTCTGCCAAATTCCTGTTAATTTTTTGACCTCCTCCCATGAATCACAAATGTCCTTAATAGCATTTGTTAATATAATAGTGAGTCCTTTCCAGAAAGTTTTCAATTTACTTTGCCCAGATTCAGCAGAGGAATCATTGTCTGTGGCAGCTATATTCTTATAAAATTATTTTTTAAAAAATAACTCTTGAAAGTCAAAGTTGCATCTTGATCCACAAGTTTCAGAATGAATGTTGTGTTAGCAAGCATAAAAACACTAATTTTCTGGACGGCACTTGTAACTCTGAGTAGGGCGCCGGCCCTATATACTGAGGGTGGCTGGTTCAAACCCAGCCCTGGCCAAACTGCAACAACAACAAAAAGTAGCTGGGCATTGTAGCGGGCGCCTGTAGTCCCAGCTACTCGGGAGGCTGAGGCAAGAGAATCACCTAAGCTCAGGAGCTGGAGGTTGCTGTGAGCTGTAACGCCACAGCACTCTACCGAGGGCAATAAAGTGAGACCCCATCTCTCTAAAAAAAAAAAACCCCATTTTCTTGTACATCTCCATCAGAGAATAAGCAGTAATATTTTAAGGTTTTTTTTTTCCTGAGTAATAGGTCTCAACAATAGGCTTAAAATTTTGAGATAAGCATACTGAAAATAGACATGCTGTCAGTGAGGCTTTAATTTCCCATTGATACATGTAGAGTACAGACAGAGTAGATTTAGTGTAATTAAAACTTCCTCCATATCATCAATATGGCTGTTCTGCTTTCTTGTCAGTTATATGTTCACTGGAGCAGCACTTTTAATTTCCTTCAAGAGCTTTTCCTTTGCATTCACAAGTTGGCTAACTGGTGCAAGAGGCCTAGCTTTTGATGTGTCTTGGCTTTATCCACAAGCCCTCCTCGCTGAGCTTAATTATTTCTAGCTTTTCAGTGAAGGTGAGAGCTACAGAATATTTCTTTTCATTTGAACACTTAGAGGCCATTCTGGTTATTAACTGGCCTAATTTTAGGGAGACGCAAGAGATGGGGGCATGACCAGTTAGTTGGTGCAACAGTCAGAATACATGTTTATTATTTGAGGTTGCCATTTTACATATGTGCAGTTTGTGGCACCTCAGAGTGATTATACTTGTTACTGTGACTATGTCTGTTGGAATACTTGATTTTAGTTCTTTGGAGTCTGTACCTAGGAGTGGAATTGCTAGGTGATATGGTAGTTTTGTGTTTGACTTTTTAAGGACCCACCACACTGTTTTTCACAGCAGCTAAAACTTTTACGCTCTAACCATGAACTCCATGTCCTTGCCAACAGTTGTGTTAGACGTGTTTATACGCAGCTGCTAAGGGTGATTGCTTTTTTTGTATCAACATCTTTACATACTACAATCTCTTTTCTTTAAAGATTTATACAGTCTGCTTTTCTGAATTCTGCTTTTATTTTTTTCTAGTTTTTAGCTTTATTAAAGATGATTAGACTTTGGGACTTTTTAAAAGGTGAAGTTACTATTAGCTAAAAGGGTTAAAAGATTTATCCCAAGATGATGGTGAAGCTTAAACTAAGTTCTCTAACAACTTGATCCCAGGTAATGTACTTTTATGCCATGATTCTTCCATCAAATTTGTGTAATTTTGAGACTTGTAAAATATGAGTAGTAGCAGCAAATACTATGCTTGAATAAGGTATTTTAGGGAAATTAGCTTTTTAGAATGGTGGTCTTCCAAATTATTTTTGATGACCCATTTCTTATTGTGTATATTTACAAATTATTCACATATTCAGCAGCTGTTAGCCTTTATTTCATATTACATTGCATAGTTAAAATTAAGTTTATCATTAAAGATAGTGTATGTAAATTCCTTTTAAGTTGTATTTTTAATAATTGTTTGTAAATTTCCAGATAGACCTGATTAAATTATTTTAACCGTATTAGATTCATTAACCTTTATGTACTGAAAGCAGAAGTTTCAGATGTGACATTCTCTTATTACTTCCTTGTCCTTGTGTTAAAACTGATTACTGTTTTTAATCAGTTGTTTCTTTCCAGAAATCTTGTTGAGCCTCTTACTCATTTTTTAAGATTATTATTTAAAAAATGCATGTATCTATAAATCCATATAATATCTACAAATAAACTGTAATATCTTGCTGGCAAAATAAATGAGTATAATTATTAGTTAAGTATTAAAGTTTTATTCCTTTTTCCATAAGATAAAAATAAACATAATAAAGGTTCTAATACTTTTTCTGGTATTCCCCAAAGACTATCTTGTATACTTTTGGAGTCCGTCCCTTTTGAGTGAACCATCTTGTTGGTTGAATTTAATAATCAGTATTTTGATATTTGTCTGTTAGAAAATGAGAGTCTTGGGCAGCACCTGTGGCTTAGTGAGTAGGGTGCTGGCCCCATATACCCAGGGTGGCGGGCCCTGGACAAACTGCAACAAAAAAATAGCAGGGTGTTGTGGGGGGCGCCTGTAGTCCCAGCTACTCGGGAGGTTGAGGCAAGAGAATCACCTAAGCCCAAGAGCTGGAGGTTGGTGTGAGCTGTGATGCCACAGCACTCTACCGAGGGTGACAAAGTGAGACTCTATCTCTAAAAAAAATGAAAATGAAAGTCCCATGTAGGCAAACATTCTATTGAAACTGTAGAAGTCTGTGATTGGTTGCAATGTTAAGTTTCATAGAAATGTCTAATTTTTGTCTTTTGAAGTTATTTTAAATGTGTTAATTTATGATTCAGTTATAGTAGAGCTTTTGAGATGTATATTTTTCAGTTTTTCAATTTTTTTTATTTTCAGAAAGAGCTATCTGGTCACAAAAACATCGTGGGTTATTTGGACTGTGCTGTTAATTCAATTAGTGATAATGTCTGGGAAGTGCTTATTTTAATGGAATATTGTCGAGGTAAGTACTTTTCTGAAATTGTATTGTACTAAAACATTTCTCTGTAAAATGGTTTACTAGCTGTCTTGGATTTTTCCTAGAGCAGCTGTTAAATTATTCTAGATAACTTTTTGTAGTCTTAGCTTTCATTATCTAATCAGGAATGCTGTTAAAAATTATTTACAACTAGTCATAGTTAGTGTGATTATGATATGAACATGGAGGATTGGAAAGATACTGTTGCGTTTGAAACAGGAAATGTAAGCAGGTAAAGAGTTAGAATTTTTGCTCATTAGGCAATTCTTTTATAATCCAACCAAGAAGAGCATTATGGGTCAGTATTTTAAGATTTTTTAGCACTCTACCATTAGCCTTTATTTCATATTACATTGCATAGTTAAAATTAATTAAGTATTAATTAATAATAAATTTATTTTTATTTATTTATTAAAAATAAAATTAATTAATGTAAACATTAATTAAGCAAATTGAGAGGACATGTTTTCATCTATAATCTTTATAAACTTGTATTTTGTGATATTTTTGTATTTCTTTTTAAATCTCAAAAAATAGAAAACCACATTTTATTTGGACCTAATGTGATATTTTAATGTAAATACTTGTATGCTTTAATAATAATAATTATCATAAAAATCCCTAATGTTTTCAAATTTTAATGTGTGGAAAAGTGGCGGTTAATTATTTCCTTTCAAACTTGCTTTTTTTAAAAAAAATCAGGCTATATCTAGCAATGAGGGCTCTAGGGATCCCTGGTTTATATTTAGATTCTCTCGACGGTTATGACTGTTGATTACTGTATCAGGAACTCTTATTGTTTCCTGAAGATGAGAGGAGGAAGAGGGGCGTGATGGTGTTGGCAGTGATGGAGGAATTATGATCTTATTTATTGCAGTCGTGAAGGAAGGACAGGAAGATGAAGTGAATCAATGTTATAACGTCTGCTGGGATGTATTTGTAACTGAATTCCAGACATGATGTTTTTAAAATAGATGTTTCTTGGTTTTTTCTCTTTATTGCTCATGTTCTCTATTTTTTCATAACATTAAAAATTTGTTGCTTTATATGAATACTGTATTGAAAGCCGAAGCATTCAGTTTACACACAGAAATTACACAATTACATACTGATTCACAAAGGTAGCAAACACATTACATCTACAAAATGTCCTTGACAGAAATTTAAAAATTCTAAATATCAAAAGGTACAGCTGAAGAAACAGGTATAAATTTGGCAGCCAGTAATTTTGACAGGGAAGTTGTAGCTTGCATGATTTTAAATAATGTGAATTTGAAAATATTGTGTTTAGAGTAATCATTGTGCTTTTTGTTGATCTGAAAAATGTAACACTGGCTGTTAAAGAAGCATGTTCAAAAACATTTAATTCCCTTCAAAATGTAACATAGATTATGGTGGTTCCTGTGCACCCCTGAAGCTTGATGATACAGCTCTTCCGTGTACAGCTCCTTCAGAGCGTCATCTTCTCTGTGTAAAGCACCGTGATCCTTAGAAGTCATCTTCTCTACCCCACTCTCCTACATTCTAGCATTTATGGTGCTTATTCTTAGTTGGACTAGAGTTCATTGATAGTTCATACATTTGTCTTTTTTAAGATACTTAAATCAAGCATAATCTTAATCCTAGATGAGTTTAATTATCACTGAGAAGGTATTATAAAAGGGGAATCCAATTACCTTCAATTTGGGGGCACATTTTATTTTAAAGTAGAGGAATTATGTCACCTGTATTTTGAGGAAGATTTCTTTTTTTTGGAGACAGAGCCTCAAGCTGTTGCTCTGAGTAGAGTGCTGTGGTGTCACACAGATCACAGCAACCTCCAACTCCTGGGCTTAAGCAATTCTCTTGTCTCAGCCTCCCAAGTAGCTAGGACTACAGGTGCCTGCCACAACACCTGGCTGGTTTTTTGTTGTTATTATAGTTGTCATTGTTTGGCAGGCCCAGGCTGGATTCGAACCCACCAGCTCTGGTATATGTGGTTGGTTGGTGCCTTAGCTGCTTGAGCTACAGGTGTCGAGCCATATTTTTAAGAAAATTTTTTTTTGAAATAGTTGTCTGGTATTTGAGTAAGTGGGCATTGTTTCATATGCAATTCTAAACATTTATTAAACTAAATAGCTCTGTTAAGCTCTGGCAAACCCTCCTGCCTCATCCCTCTTTTTAAAGATAATAATTTTAAAATATTTGGTATTGTTTTTTCAAGTTTCCTTGAATATTTCTACACTGTATTATATAAAAAAGAATTACTAATTTTAGTGAGCTCCTAAGAGTATAAAAGACAGGGAACTAAGGAAATGAAGGAGGGAAGTATGTGATTGTGGGCATGAGGAAGTTCTTGAAAGAAAATTTGTTAGTGCCAATTCTGATTTTATGTTTTAGATACTGTCTTTTAGAAAATAAGATTTTACTTTCAGTATAGTATATTCTCAGGCTTTTTCTTTTTTTTTTTTACATTTTGTTAGGAGCATTCATTAATGTATCTTTTGGCTCTTCTATTTGGCTCTTCAGCATTTAAATTATTATTTTTGCCCTTTAATGGTGACATGTAATAGTCTGTAATTGCATTTTCTTTCTTGTACTTTTTTTTTTATCCTGGAGTTTTATCCTCATGTTACATTTGTCTGATTTTCTTTATTTATATTGGTATTTTATTCCAGTACTCCCAAGAGAGGTAGAAATACTTTTGCAGTATTTTATTATTTGTATCAATTTCATTTTTTTTCCCCTTAGAACTCCTCTGTTGGGGAGACCTCAGTTCTGCTTAACTTTAAATCAGCTGTTGTCTCTGTCTGCTGTATCCCTTTTGCCTTCCTTCTGTCTTGGGTCCCCGGCTGCTCACACCTTCCCCCTAGTTTTCACTCCCTCATTCAGATGAACACGTTTTTCAGTAGCTTTCTGATAATGGATTTATGGGAGAAAACACTTTTTAAAAAGTTGCAAATACAAAAATATTTTTATTCTATACCCACATTTAAGAGTTAATTTGGCTGGCTAAAAGATTTTAGGTTAGGAATGATTTTGATCCAGAATTATGAAGGCATTACTCCATTTTTTTCTAATGTTATTGAGAAGTCTGATACTTTTCTCCGTAGACACTTTTAGTTCAGATCTTTCCTTTATCTTCAGCATACTGAAATTTCAGGACATATGTGCCTTAACATAGGTCCTTTCTGATATTCTTTTTGCTGGGCTCTCAGCATTTTTCTTTTCCATTTTCTTAGTTATCTCTTTCTGGATTTCTCATTTTTAGAATGTTTTCATAGATTGATTAATCCACTGATTTTCTTTTTTCTTTTCCTTTCTATTTATTTTATTTTTGTTAGGAGCATTCATTAATGTATCTTTTGGCTCTTCTATAGAATCTTGTATTTCTGATTTTTTTTTTTTTTTTTTTGGAGACAGGGTCTTACTATGTTGCCCTCTGTAGAGTGCTATAGTGTCATAGCTCACAGCAACCACAAACTCCTGGACTTAAGCGACTTTGTTGCCTCAACCTCCAGAGTAGCTGGGAGTACAGGTGTTCCCACAACACTGGGCTTTTTTTTTTTTTGGTGCTCAGTAGGCCCAGGGCAATTTGAACCCACCAGCCCTGGTGCTTGTGGCTGGCACTCTAACCGCTGAGCTCTGGGTGCCCAGCCCCAATATTTTAGTTTTAACTTCGAAAAACTCTTTCTTGTTCTCTGAATTTTTTTTTTTGTTGTTAAAATACACATTGCCCTTAGGTTCAAATCTTTTATTGTCCATGGATATTAATTTTAGTTTTTAGAGTATTTTTTCTTTCCCTGGCATTTTAATTTTTTTCTGGATTCTTTCGTATTGCTATTATTCTTTCTCTTTTCTGTTAGTTTTCTTTGAATGTTTTCCTAGCTAAGGTCACTCCCTGTATTTCAGGTCAGATACACCCTCTGAGTGGGCAGTTCTATCTGAAGGAATCCAGAGGCCTAAATGGAGGGTGCTTGATTCCTTCTCTCAGATGAATCAATCAGATAAGTTCCTTTTTCTCCCATGCGGGATGATTAATATGAGGGGCAGAGAATAGAAGAATAAATACTTTTCTCTTCTTCTTCTATAAAAGCGAATTGTGTTACATAAGATTGTTTCAAAATTAAGGTACTTTGTAAGGGGACAGGTGTAATGTATATAATTCAGGTACAGTGGTTTTGATTATATGGGATAAACTGTGTAGAAAGCAGAATGTGTTACATAACTGGTATGCCCTCACATAGTTTTGGGTGTCCAGGGTATATAATCATCTTTTGTTAAGTGTAGTCATCTTTGTCTCTGTAAATTCATGGCTTGGTACTGCTCTATTTGCTAATATTCTGCATATATAAAGATAGATTATGTACTTTAAGACCCAGACTTCTAGAAATCAATGTAGAGGCTCGACGCCTGTGGCTCAAGTGGCTAAGGCACCAGCCACATGCATCTAAGGTGGCAGGTTCAAATCCAGCCCGGGCACGCCAAAAAATAATGACAGCTGCAACCAAAAAATAGCCGGACGTTGTGGTGGGCACCTGTGGTCCTAGCTACTTGGGAGGCTGAGGCAGGAGATTCGCTTGAGCCCAGGAGTTGGAGGTTGCTGTGAGCTGTGATGCCATAGCACTCTACCCAGGGTGACAGCTTGAGGCTCTGTCTCAAAAAAAAGAAATCAATGTAGGTATTTTGAGTACATTTCTATTTTCTGAATAATTTGTGAATAAATTGTGAAAATTTCTGAATATTTCTGTTTTCAGAAAGTGTTCTATGTACGTTCCCACGGATTATATCTCTTAATATTTGTTTAATAAAAAAACAGATCCAAAACTCAGTCATTTATTTTCACCTGTGTATCTGTGGGCCAGCTGCTTTCAACTTAGCTTGGTAGGGTGGCACTGCTGATTTTGACTGGCCTTGCTCACAGCGGTGGGTTAGCTGGGATTAGCTGGAGTAGCTCTGCTTCACAGGTCTCTAGTTCTCTTTTTGCACTAGCAAGCTGTCCTGGGGATGGTTTTGTCATGAACGTGATAGAAACCTGGAGGGGCCAAGCTTCTGAAGGCCTGGGCTTGGGACTGGCACACTGCTATTTGCATCTTTCATGTGACTGAGCCCAAATCAAAAAACATATTTCCTTCTCCATTTATTGGGAGGAACTATAGAGTTACATGGAAAAGGACGTGGAAAAAGGGCGAGTTGAAGATTTGGGGCCAATAATGTGATCGAATTGCAGATAAAATACAATAATTTTATAAAAATAAGCAAGTCACATTATCAGAATTTAAATGGAATAATAGGTTGTGCTTTATATGTAGCTAAGTAGTAATAAGTGTACTTAGATATGAAAGCTGTTGGACAACTTTAAGAGGTTAGAAAAATGTTGACTTTTTGAATTTTGGTGATGACATTGGGCTTTTGCATAAGAGATGATAGATACTTCTTTGGAAAATATGGGCAGTTTAAGGACTGTGTGCATCTTGTTTTAAAAGTATATAATGATTTGACTTTGGGATCTGATTTTTTTTATCCTTTTTAAAACACAATTAGAATAACCATCCTTTGTGTCTTATTTAATTTTTAGAAAACTCTGATTTTGAGTAATGAAATTTTATTTTCACATTTGAAATTCGATTCAAATGCAGTTTTTGTTTCCTCTGGGAATTTGGTTTTCATGACTAAGCATTTGTACTCTTGATGGAAGAAAGGGAATTAACATTTGTTGAATATTTATTCTGCTCGTTACAAAATTGAAAATTTGGAAGAGGTGGAATTCGTTCAAGGTTATGATTTCCGTAGTTGTGAAATGATTATTTCAAGGATACGAATGAACACTGAGAAAGCATTTTTTTGGTCCTATTTAATTTTTAGTTAAAACCAGTCTTCTCTAACCTAAGAATAGACAGGGAGTCCGTGAAACAGGCAATAGCGGAAGCTGCTGCCTGGTCAGCTGCCTCACTGTTCTGAAATAACCTAAACCTATCATATCTGAGTTTTCTGAAAGTTGAGGACTCATAAGTAAAATTTAATGTTCTTTTTGCTTTAAATTCTAAGAGAGAAATCAGTATTTCAGAAGAGATTGCTGTTTAGACAGTGATAATAAAAGGAAAAAGTGTGTATATGCCTTTTTACAGATTGCAAAGTAGCAACATTCATTTATCCATCCTTTTAAAGGAACCTTTCGGGTTAATGTAAGCTTTGTATTTTTAAATTTCCAAAGTTTTATTTTTTAATTTTAATTTATTATTTAATTAATTGTTTTTAGGCAGTCTCACTCTGTTGCCCAGGCTACAGTACAACCAAAGTTTATTTTTATTGGAATGCTTTTTGTATGAATCACGTATTTACTTGCATTTTTAAAATTAATGATAGTTCTCTTTTTCTTTATAATTGAGAACCAGCATCCATAGACTGGCGTCTGATAATATGTAGGATGTTATATCATCATCCTCTCAGGCTCAAGGGCATGTTTGTGACTATTTGATTTAGTAAATTACTCTGGCCCATTACCTCCTACCTGACTTAGTATTAGTCTCTTATCTTATTTCTATGTTTCCAACTTTTTGATTCCACCCAACTCGTAATCAATGAGATCAGATCAGGAAGTTTCTTTGGCCCTCAAGGTAAAGTCCAAAACGTAACTGATCTCCATCATCCTTGTCAGACCCTTTTCACCTTACTGTTGTCTGTCCTTCCTAGACCTTATTCAGCACTGGGTTTCTTTAAGTTATTCAAAGTCAGTGAGCTCCTTCCCAGACTGAAGATGTTTGTACATATCACTATTCCTGGCAGGTTCTTCTTCCAGTTCTTTGCCCGGTTATTTCCTAATGATCCTTCAGTCTCCGATGTCACTTTCTTAGATAGGCCTGATCCGACATCATGTCTTTCCCATCTTCCGTCACCAATTTAAATTCAGGTTTCTTACATGAAATTCTCTCACATGATTGTTACAATATGTAATTATGATTATATGATTTGTATGATTGTTTCTACTGTTAGACTGTAAATTCTGTAATAGAAACCTTATTTTTGTTCACCGTTTACCTACTAAATAGCACAGTGTTGAATTTCTATAAATCAATATGCTATCAATTATAAGATACACCCTGATTTCAGGGATGTTAAAACAGTGGTTAATAACATTAACAGGACATTATCTATCTTAAAGTGTTCAAATCTCTGAGATATAAATGGTGAAAAATGTTTGTCATTGCATTAATACAATGCTGTGTAATACATAAGAATGTATCCTTACATAAGAATTATGAAAAAGCCAATTTGTTGTCACTTAAAGCCATAAAGGCATTTCTTAATCTGTTTGCAGTGGACTTCAGTCATTAAAAATATGTCCTCACAAAATTATTATTTTTTTAGCTGGGCAGGTAGTGAATCAGATGAATAAGAAGCTGCAGACAGGTTTTACAGAATCAGAAGTATTGCAGATATTCTGTGATACCTGTGAAGCCGTTGCAAGATTGCATCAGTGTAAGACTCCAATCATTCACCGGGATCTGAAGGTAAGAACTTTAGGATACTTACAGATTAGGTAATACATTTAAGACTTTGGAGTTAAAATGTTCTTGGACTATTTTTACCTAAACCAGTTTTTATTACTAGCATTGTGATTGGTCTCTCTGTCCTCTCCTAAATTTTCTGAGGTCCTGGAGAGACCAACTGTAGAGTTGAAAGTGTACTTTACTTAACTGTGAGGTTTTGTAGCATGGCTGTAGACATGGGTTTTGAAACTTTTTTTTTTTTTTGCAGTTTTGGCTGGGGCCAGGCTTGAACTCACCACCACCTCCAGTATGTGGGGCTAGCACCCTACTTCTTGAGCCACAGGCGCCACCCTAGATGGGTTTTGTACTCCTCGCCCCGCATCTCTGTGCAGGGATCTTTCAAAAGTCCATTTGCGCAGCAGATGTGATTGTTATTGACATGGGTTGAATGCCCCTTTTACTGTTTTCTCTCAGTTCAGAGTTCCTCCTGTTTCCTGTGTTCCATGTTAAACATCAGGTGTTTTTAAGAGATAGTGGAAGAGACTGTAGATTGGTCTCTTTTCTCATTTACCTATAATTTATTAGTGTTATCTATAATTTACTATCATTTGGTAGTGATGGTTTTTAAGGCAATGTTTTTTACTATTGTTATGTACTATTGTTTTTAAGCTCAAGGACCATTGAGCTTTTGTATTTGGTATCTACCTGTTACAATTGAAAAAGTCACCAAAGGGGATTGTGAATATTCTTGGCATCATATTGCTAGAGATAGCATTTAGAACCATGTGTGTCTTCTTTCATGCCCACAAACACGAAGATGACAAAGATCATTTCCTGAACTGCTTCGCGCCCAGATGCTCCCTTGGCTGCCCTTTGGACTTCTCTAAGTCTGTTCAGATTGATCTTGTCAGTGAGTCCTGTTCTGAACTTGACCTTATACTCTCCGTCTGGTCTACCTCTTCTCAGCACTTAGCACTTCCCAAGATACTGTATAATTTATGCCTGTTGTGTGTAATCTGTCCACTTCCACCAGAATGTGAGCTCCATGAGGGCAGGGCCCTTTTTCCTTTTTTAGTGTTGTGCCCAAGCATTTAGAATAGTGCCTGGCATTCAGCAAAATATTTAGCTAATTTATGAATTCCCAGTTCTGACTGATGATATAGAATTTTGTGAAAGGCAGTTATGAGATACTTGTAAGCTAAAAAGAAAATAGAAGATGTCACTAATAGGGTAGTTAGCTTTCCTAGACAGTACTTTTATGATAGGAGGTGATAGGAGGTAAACAAGGCAGGGTTAACGGCTTCTGTCCTCTCATTTAAGTAACTAGCATGGTTCCTCTGAGTAGTTTTTAAATATGGAAGTTTTACATTTCCCTAATAATTTGGTATTTTTTTGGTGCTGTTGTAGTTCGTTAACTTTTTGCATAGAATGTTGATATTTTCAGCTGAGTATCCTTGATTTAAAATTCAGAAAAGATATTAAACTGAATACTTTATTCATGTTTTATATGCTTAGTTCTTGCATGTGTAAATATAATATATGTAAAATATGTTCATTTTTAAGTACCTTTTTTTTTTTTTTTTTGAGATAGAGTCTCACTTTGTCTACTCTACCCTCAGTAGAATGCTGTGGTGTCACAGCTCACAGCAACCTCCAACTCCTGGGCTTAGGCGATTCTCTTGCCTCAGCCTCCCGAGTAGCTGGGACTACACCCACCACAATGCCCAGCTGTTTTTTTTTGTTGCAGTTTGACTGGGTCTGGGTTCAATCTTGCCACCCTCGGTATATGGGGTCAGCGCCCTACCCACTGAGCCATAGGCGCTGGCCCTATAAAGTACATTTTTATACAAATCTTTATTTTCTGTGAATTTTTAAAAAGTAGACTGAAATGAAATATGAAAGAAATTTTTAAAGAAATTGAGTATTTTGATAGAATGGAGATGAATTCTTTATGGTTGTTATAAAAATAAAAGATGTGAAAAACAATAGTTTTATTTATTTCACAAATATAATGTGAAAAAATAATTTATCTAATGCATCTATATTCTGGACACTATTCTAAGTGTTTCCTATATTTTAACTCATTTAATTTTCACAACAGTCCCATCTACAGCGTGTTCCAAAGGTTGCCCCCAGAGTTGTCATATCTTGGGAAAATGGGAAATTGTAGCTTAAAGTACCTTTGTTTACAAAATATTCATCACAAAATTTTACAAAATATTCACAAAAATATTCTCTACATGTTGGCCACTTTGTGATGTTTTACAGTGAATATCTTGTAAATAAAGGTACATTGAGCTACACTTTTCCATTTTCCCTGTGTGGGGTGTCTCCGGGGCCAGCTTTGGGATATCTTGTAGCAGGTTTTATATAATCGTCCCCGTTTTATAGACAAGTAAATTAAAGCACAAGAGGCTTTAAGCAAATGGTCTAGTAGTAGAAGAAGAATTAAAAGGTAGGTGTTTGTCTTCAGCACTTTAGCTCCTGGGAATTTTCCTAAACTTGAGTCTGTGACCAGTTCCATTAATGCAAATTTTAGGTATCCCATTTATAGATTTTTTAAAAATGTACACATGCTAGTAGGTAGCAGATTGGGCTTTGATTCCACACTCTGCCATTCAAGAGGTGTGTCCCTAGTTTACTTTAGTTACTACTTCTTTGATCTACAAGTTAAGTCAAATTTGTCAGATAAAAATGGTACCAGCATTAAATCAAATAATTTAAACAGCTTTCATTATTACTTATCTATAGATAAGCTGAAGTATCAGAAAAAGAGAAAAATGCATGGACAATACATGAGAGAAGCTGGACTCTGCTGGCACCAACTTTTTTTTTTTCATAAGAGTAGTTTAAGAGAAGATTTAGAGTTTCTTATTCCTGCACACATCATCCTGGGATGAGAGAAGTGCCTCTTTGTTCTTAGAGAAACAGTAGACCTAGGAAAATGCATTTTGTGTCCTTTTTCATAGTTTGAGGATTGTGTACGTACTTTGTGTCTCTCAAATGCGTCAGTGCTTGTAGTGTAAACATATGATTGTAAAAAGATAATTTTTACTTTGAAAACACTACTAATGGTTGCTTTTCTTTTTTTAAGGTAGAAAATATTTTGTTGAATGATAGTGGAAACTATGTACTTTGTGACTTTGGCAGTGCCACTAATAAATTTCTTAACCCTCAAAAAGATGGAGTTAATATAGTAGAAGAAGAAATTAAAAAGTAAGTATTCGTTTTTATTGCATTTTATCTCAGTAATTTTAGTTAACTTGAGTCTGTGACCAGCTCCATTAATACAAATTTTAGATATCCTATTTATAGAGTTCTTCAAAATGTCCCTAAATATGTTACTAGTTCATGTCTGATCTAACACAGGAAATATATTTTACCATGGGTGCAAGTTATTCATTGACATTGCAAACAGAGTTGTAAAGAAATTTGTTAAATAAGCCGTAGTAATTAGTGGAATATTAAAAAGGTTCTCTTATGTGATTACTGAGTTCTGTTAAACATCTTTGTTTTTACTGATACTTAGGATTTGTGCTTGTTAAGAGAAAGTTAAATTATCTGAAAACATTTATTCTTTTGCTTCTTATTTAACATTAAGATAATTGATGGCTCGGCGCCTGTGGCTCAAGTGGCTAAGGCGCCAGCCACATACACCTAAGATGGTGGGTTGGAATCCAGCCCCGGC